GGATTGTTTTGCCCAGGCACAGAATCTCTGAGATAATGTAAAGAATTTAAGTGGCTCTTTTCAGGGCGCTATGCAGAAAGACACTCCACAATTGAATTTTTGTTTGTACTTTTTTGACTTTCATATTTATTTATAAAATATTTTACCAAGAAAGATACATTGAGATTTCTCTTGTTTAAAGTATGTCCTGGGTCCACAAAACATTGCATTAATACAATAGGGTACAATAAAATACAAAAACAATATTAATACACAAAATATGCAGAATAAACATAGAACAGGTAGGAAATATTTAATCAACCATGACAGGTGCATTCTGTTTTGAGGTATGTAGACAGAGATCTCTTAAAGGACTTTAGGCTTGGGAAAGATTTGAAAGTGTGCGGGAGGTCACTCCATAATTGCGGTACTCTGTAGGAAAAGGAGGATCGGGCTGCTTTCTTTTTGCATTGAGGTAGACTAAATAAAGTGCTGGTACTGGATCTGAGATTATAGGAGGTGGGAACAGCCGGGGAGAGCATTCTGCTCAGGTAGGGTGGGAGCTTCCCAGAAAAGCTCTTAAACACAAGGCTGGAAAGATGGAGGGTGCGTCTGGATTCCAGCGACAGCCAGTTTAGTTTTTTTTTAGCATGTCACAATTGTAGCACAAATCGGCAGAATGAGTTATACAATGTATTAAGTTGGGTTTGCTGTGCAGGTGCATATACTACATCCCCATTATCGATGATTGGCATCAGCATTTGCTGTACAATCTTTTCATTTACTGTAGGGCTTAGGCAGGATTTGTCTCTATACAGGGCACCTAGTTTTGAACAAAGTTAAGATGCAAGTTTTTCTATGTGGAGGCCAAAAGATAGATTGGGATCTAACAACATATGTTGTCATATGTCAGATAGATTGTTGGTAATACTCACATGGTTGCGTATGGATGCATTTTTCTAAGGTTTTTGACAATACTGGGAGCAATGATATTGGGTGATAGAAACCAAAGTAGCGTCACCACTTTTATGGATAGGCACTACTCTCGCAGTCTTCCAAAGTTTGGGTATGTATCCAGACACCAAGGATTCTTTAATTAGGGTTGTGACAGGTTTAGCAATTACATTGCTGGCATGAACAACCATCTACCTACTGTGAACTATTATCAATTCTTTAGCCAGGAAGAGAGAACATTGGCAGGATTGTTGCTGCTACATATCTATTTATATTACATCAAATGCCCCTGTGGTTTGCAATATGGGGACACTACCATCAGAATGAGGGAACATCTAAATAAAGGACTACACAAAAGCACAAGAATGAGTTACTTGTCCCAAAACCGTTTGCAACATGCAACCACAGTGTTTCTCAGTTAAAATTTACAATAAGTTTATAATATGCAAGTGGAAGTGATTGGGAAATGTTACTAAAGAAAAGGGAGCTATATTGGATCCAGTGGCTCTCACAAATATGTTATTCTTATGTCTACCCGCTATCCAATACTTATCTGTCTAGTTTCAGTTTATTGGTAAGACATTCTTATCAGCCTTTCTGATTACTAATATTGCAAAAAATATGCAGATTTTCCAAACACCATGTTGTTGCTATGTTGACAAATGTATGCGCGCCTCTGCTGTCATGGCATTGCAGGCGTTACTGTTCTAATGTGCACAGCAAAAAAAAAAGTAATCAACACTAGTGCAAATTTCACCAAGATTTTTATGGTAGGCTCCTAATTACATCCGTTCCAATGTTGACCAAATATGTCCAATAGTTCAGCTTGATCTGGGCAGGCGTTATATATCTCAGTCTTTCTTTCGAGCCCAGATTTATAACTTGTTTTTTTAGATTTCTGATGTGAACTTCACTTTTTTATCCAAATCTTATTTGTTAGAGCCACAAATGTTTTATTACCAAGTTCTGGCTGCAGGTACAGCAGGAGTTCTCTAGGAAGATGTTAAGTAACACAGGTTTTTATTTAATCAAATCTACCCAACTGATAAGTCATCAATATGATCAGGAGAATAAATGAGATTTAAGCTCTAAACAACAGAGAGACTTGTATGCTTTTATGAGATTTGAAGAAAAGGTGACTTTACATTTGCTGCTTGACATTTTTCTTATGGTAATTTCAGATTACAATGATTACCATGCCATTGTTTTTTTCTTAATATCCCTGGAAGTCTTAGGAAAGAGTGCTCAGCTGTCAGATGTTTGAAAAACGTGGAGATCCACCTCCTCATCACCTTTATTTCCCCCACAGCCAAGTCAGTGAATGGACATTTCAGACTATATTGATGGCCTATATTACAAAATTCCTAAATGTCCATTCTACACATGCCGTCCACCACCTTAGGCTGACGCAGCAGATGACTGCCAGATCTGCAGGGTCATCGATTGAAAAAGAAAAGTCATTTGTTTTCAAAACATTTTCCCTGCCTCCAACTCAATATTCTGCAGTGGTCTTGTCCACTGTTGCCATCTAATTTAGTATTTTCCCTTCCTTCTCTGCATTGGCTAGTCTCTCTATCATTGCTACTGGAGAAAAGAAAGAAAACAACTTCTTATGCAAGTGCCCTGGAGCAGCCCACCTTTCGATCAGTGCTACTGGAAAATAGTCAAGAAAAATATCCTCGCAAAGTATTTACATTTACTGCGCAAATGCAGCTATGCTGTTTTTTGGTTGTAGACATACGCAACTGTTGACAAATCACACAATACTTTTGAAGCTTTTAGAAGATGTTACAATGTTTTTTTTATTTTTTTTTATTTTGAGTCTTCCTTTTCTTATGGCAACTGTATTTTAATGGCAAAAAACATTCCCCCATGACAATTACTTTTATTATATTTTCTATATTTGTGTGAAGCCATTTTGTTCTCTTCTGCACACGTCTGCGGTTTGCTCTTCTGTTTTCCTACTGTCACGTTTTGCCAACTCAACTGCTATACATAAGAAAATGTAGTCAATGTTTTTTTTTTATGAAAATGTGTGCAAAAAAAAAAGCTTCAGACACAGAAAGCAGATTGTATAAAGTTATTTTTTGTGACAGAGCTGTTTTAATAACCACAGCTTTTTTTTGTCTTGGTAAAGTTTACAGTGCATGTAAAGTATACATGTAGACTATGATTCTCTGCATTGCACTCTGACTGCAAAGCCGGATTACCCTTTAGGTGACCAAAGCAACCGCCTTGGGCCAAGTGGTCCTCTGCCTGGGCCTAAAGCTTTGGTTTTGAGAGGACCCTTCTAAAGGTGGGTGGGAGACCATAAGACCTCCCTGCAGAGTCCTGTGCCTCCTCCCAGCGTTTTTGGTACGTACCAAGATTGACCTCGTAGTCTACTGGTTCTTCTTGATGAATAAAAGTGTAACAGTTAGCGCTGAATCATTGACTGAGCACTGGAACTGCGAGGATGCTCCTAAAGTGTTCTGCACCCATATTGATGGAAACGATGGAGCTCTCCCACTGGGATCATGCTGACATTCCACTGGACCACAAGGGAAGATAAGCAGGAAAAAGGGGTGGAGAAGGGGAGATACACAGCCTCCCCCATACAGCTCTAAACCTCCTCCACACACACCAGAAACACAGCTCAGGGCTCTAAGAGGGGGCCCAATTTGGCACCCTACCAATGGCTCTGGGTCACCTTAATCTGGCTCTATTTGAGTTTTTGCACTTTGGATAACTCATAAGTACTCTCATGGGATACAAGATCATTCAATTATTTATGTTACATTGTGCGGTCACGTGTTTGCAGCTGCTCCCATGATCCACTAATGTGGAAGCCTGGACTACATCAGAGGATTTTCCGGGCATGAACAGCATACTGAATATAGTGAGAAGTCTGATGTTCACGTCACTCTTATCTATATCCAGTAGTAGGATTGACAAAAGTGAGGTACTTTAGACCTGGTCTACAAAATGTTATGTTTTATGGTTTCTTGCACTGCACTTCGCCCAGTGGACCTTACTGTGCCCTAAGAGGCTAGTTGGACATATTAAAGGGACACTGTAGTCACCAGAACTACAGTTTACTGTATTTGTTCTGTTGAGTACAATCATTCCCTTCAGGATTTTAGCAGTAAACACTGCTTAGTGCCTAGAGATAGCTCCACTGGTCACTCCTCAGATGGCTACTAGAGGTGCTTCCTGCAGCAGTGCTGAATTGTCCCCATGCTCTGCACACAGGAACTGAACTTTCCTCATAGAGATGCATTGATTCAATACATATATCGTATATATGACGAGGTGCTTATTGGCCAAGGCTGTGTTTGGCTCTGCCTCCTTGACAAGCTTAGCTAATCCTATGGGAAACCATTGTGATCGTCTCAGAACAACACTTCTGATGTCAGCCAAGCAGGCAGATTAGGGGCAGAGCTAGCAGCTGCAGACTTGAACAAAAGTACGATTTAACTATATTTAGGGGGCCATGATGGTGGTTTGAACACTATAAGGTAAGAAATACACGTTTGAGTTCCTGACCCTATAGTGTTTCTTTTTTTTTTTTCTCCACACTATGGGGTTTCTCTTCTGTATAATGAATTTGATTCAGGGTTTGAGTGTTTGCCTTATGCCACAGCAACAAGCTTGTTATATTTATGCTTTAAACAGATGGTAAATCAATATCGTTCTTCAAGAATGTCAAGGTCCGTTATTGTGAGTGTAATTCAAATACACATTTGCACCATGCTCCTTCGTTGCACTAAATGTTGGGAGTTTCAATTTTCTACTTGTTTTGACCCAATAATTTTGTTTTGTTTTTACAAGACCAATTCTTGCATTTTCCCAGATATATGTATACGTCTTGTGAGATTATCTCACCAAAGCTTGCATAACAAATCATTTCAACACTGCTGGAAAGGACGGTATGTTACTGATCTTTCTAACAGTCTGAAACTTCATCTACTTGCAAACTCAAAGTTTGCATTTGTTCAAATTAGTGTGGTGAAACAGGATGGAACTATAGAATACCTAATATGTAACACGGCATTATGTTGGGTTTTATCCTTTAAGGATATTGGTACATTCAATGTTGTCCTAATAATTGTGAGCAGGGTTAACTCTCACCAGGGAGAACCAGGTTTTAATCAAAACCAGGGGGCTCCCGTCTGGCCCCAGGCTGAGAGATGCAAGCAGTGCTCAATGCGAGTCCTGCATACAACCCTTTAAATGCATTTAAATCCCCATGTGATTATAAGCTTCCACTAGTCTAAGGCAGACCCCCAGAGTCTAAAAAGAACCTGTCAGTGTCTCCCTGCATGACCCCCTGCTTACTGTGATTGGCATTGGGCTTTGCTAGCTACCTAGCACCGACCACTGTGTAATCGTCAGAGACAGCATGCTGGACCAGCTGTAATTTGTATGCAAAACTGTGAAAATGTTTCCATCTTTTCCCAATTTTAGCATTTTGTTTGTACTTAATGCTGCATTAGGTAGGATATAGAAGATATAAGAAAGACATATCTGTCTGTTTATTTCTATGGTGCACATATACACCCTTAAATTCAGCTAGAACAAACACATAGCATGAAGTCTAGGTTTTGTTCAGAGGTTGGGCAATTGGCTCAGTCCTTACAAGGTTTAAAGAAAGAAAAAAAACAAGAAAAAAACCCCCACTAAAATATATATATATATATATATATATATATATATATATATATATATATATATATATATACATATACATATATACACACACACACACACATCCACGTGTCCCGCACTCACAGTTCCCAGTCTTGTTGTTGCCTTGGTGCAATCCCCGACTTAAATATGTACAATATCTTACCACACTCTGTATCCAAAGATTTGATGTTTAAATAAAAAGCACTATTTGAAATACATTTTGAGTCCTTTGAATGCTCTCCATCAAGATATTGTGTGTGTGTGTATATATATATATATATATATATATATATACATACACACATACACATACATATATATATCTATATCATTTAGCAGCATACCAGTAAACAAAAATGGGTACCTACATACACTTGGGGACAGATATTTGTCACTTAATAATGTTCTTGTTTTGCTATAAAATAAAATAAAATAATGCAAACTTCATATCCCCTTTACAGTTTTTATTTTGTAAATCTGTGAAGCCTACATATAAGGCAAGAAACACCACAGTAAAAACAAACAGCCCCCTTTTTTCCATTTTCATTCCCATAAAAAATATATAAACAGAAAAAATAAATAAATAAAAAACACAAATGTATAGGACGTAATATAGTGTTTGTTTTGCAAGATATAAATTTCACACAATGATTGCTTTAAAAAGGTAAAAATGATTTATAATACACAGATAATGTTGCCGTGCCAGCATAGAAAATGCACATGCATTCATGCCTATTCTACGCCGTATAAATAAGAAAACTAAAATTACATTGGACAACACAGCACTTTTTTTTCTTTCATTTTTTTTAAAACAAACATGTAAAACATTAGATCTTTCACATCAACCTCACAGTGACAGGCTCATTATGAAACAGGAAAGAAAAGTAAGAAAAAAAACAAAACTATTTTCATTCACACTTCAACATTCGATATTAAGAATATTTATTCAGACTTATTTTTCTTCAATGTACAGTTGGAGGTTTTTTATTTTATTTTTTTGTACCATGCTGGTTTGAGTGGATTTTTTGTTTTAACTTTTCTGTCTATATAATCTCTTAAAGAAATATATATATATTTTTTTACAATTTTTCAGTTATTACATTTAAGACGTATATCTTTAAGCATTAAAAGGAATGCCGATTGCATATCAGTCTCGCCCAGATTCTGTGGAGTACAGTAAAATTCAGGGAAATAAATTCTATGGATACAAAACAAATGTACCGGGATTCTAGGCACACATTTGTGGTGTGTTTTTTTTTTTTTTTAAAGGAAGATTATGGGGTGATTTATTTATGCATTTTCCAAGATCTTGCTGTGACTGTACATTTTCTTAAGAAATGGTGGTGGCGATGATTTTACAAACATGCAGTTTTTACATAAAAGCAGACACTTCATTTTCCAGAGCCTATGCATGTATTTCATGCACACAGCACACAATAATTCTTTAAAAAGAGTACACATTATGCACAATTTTAAACAAAGCAGCTCTCCCATCTCCATAAATCATAATACATTGCAAAGACTTGCATTATTTTATATCAAATCACAGTTATTTTTTGTTTAGGAATATTACACAGCATTGTAAATACCACTTATTTTCCAAATGTAGGCTAATTCAACAGTCTCATTTTTAAACCCACCCCCACCCCTTAGCCAACCCAACCCACTGCCCAACCTTTAGCCAAATAAAATGCAAAACATTAAACAGAGCAGCATATGTTCAGACAAAACAAAAAGTATATATATATATAAAAAATAAAAATAAATCATGAACTCAACATCACTTACATAATAGTAATGGATAAAAAAAAAAGTTATGTCTAACAAAGTATATATTAAAAATAAAAATATTACATTAATGACAAATATGGTCCTAGCAATGGATATAACTGACATTTTCCTTAATTTTACACAATTCCAAATTGTGACAAAAATATATATCTTTTTAGTTGACAGACAAAAATAATCTTTTTGTATTCTTAAGTTTTTTTTGTTATTTTTTTTATTTTATGTCAAATACCATAATTGTACAGGCGGTTTTAACTGTGTGTATGGTAGGAAATATAGTTAATTTAACCAGTTTAATATATTTCCTAAGTTAATTTACATACTGCAAACAAAACCCTTTTTCAAATAGCATATTTTAGAAAATATATTCTTATCTAATGGCCGAGTATAGGTAACAAAATACCTAAAAAAATTGGTGAAATTAACTCTTTTTATAAAAACAATAATAAAAAAAAAAATTACTTGAAATGTTTACATTACCTTTTACAACCAAAGGCACTCACTGTGTCTAAATTCTTCTATGCAATATTAATACCTTCATGTCACTGTGTAAGTCCTTAAAACTTACAATAGCATGAGTGTTTCTTACAAGTTAGAAAACACGTCTTCAAACTTTTTTTTTTTTTTTTACAGTAATAATGCCTCACTCCTAATAAATCCTTTCGCTGTGTCTCCTTGGAAACAAGTGATAAAATCTCAAAAGTATTCCAGACAAGAATGTCAAAATGTAAAGGGGTAAACATCTACCCTATTATCTCTTATACACCTTAATAAGATGAACCAAGATAAAAGGAAGCTCTATTTAAAGTACACAGATTTAGGCAACTTAAAAATAGTTTACAGTCTCGTCCTACAACATAAACGCTCCTGCAAGTAGGGTTGTCAATTCCTTTAGCAACAATAGTATATGTATTCACTTTACCTCCTTGAAGTGTACACATTAACATTTTATCAGTGAAAGCATTGTCATAATGTAAACAGTTTTGTGATGTCACTCATGAGATAGCATCATGAGAAATGTGTTCTGGTCACAATCTAGAGAAAATGTGTTCCATTTCTTTTTAACAGGAGAACTTTTTTTCTTCTTTATTACAAATGGTTTTGTTTACAGAGAAAGATAACTGTCAAGTCCAAGTTTTTTTTGATATTATGTTTACTTGTTCCTTTAACAAATATGTATTTGTGAGGTGTGAAAATTCAACTCAGATATAGAAATCAACACCACTTTATCCTGAGACACGGCTCCCTGTCACTCATTGTTATAAACTTTCTCCTTACCATCTAGCAGTCAGCAAAGAGAAAACTCAAAGAAGAGGAGAAATTCTTACTACTGATTTCACTGGTGAATGTTAATGCAGCATTTGACACACATGAATTAATTTGGACTGCCCAAGCAATATATTGGGTTTTAAGAGGGGAGGAGGATATGTACTATCTTTCTTGTGATGGAGCACCCTCCTCAAATTACAGTTACATACCTTCCAACATTTGGAGGTATGGATTTGAGACGGATGGGCAGGCCTTCAAAAGGAGCGTTGCAGTGATGCAACTTGTGTGGGAAGTGACACCCATAATGGGAAGGCTATCTACTTAAGAACTGTGCCAGCCTTCAGACTGGCCCCCATAATGCAAGCCGTGCCGAGAGAGCTTATTTAGAGCCTGTACAATGATGCTTTTTCACTGTGCTGCCCAAGGACAGTTCGGAGAGTCCCCAGTTGAGGGACACCAGGGAACTTAATTAGGACGGTATGATTTAACCCCCAAAGTGGGACAGTTGGGAGATCTGTAGATATTCTGCCATTCACCACCTATTCTTAAAAAATATGTTTAAGCAACAGTAGCCCTGGAGAGAGCAGACATGTTTAAGGTTCTGATCAAAGATTTGAACTAATCATGTTTCAAATTATAGATTATACATACATTGCTAAATGTGATGATGCTTCTAAGAGACAAGGATAACGGTTGTCTGCACACCAGAAGACCATGTTCTTCTTCCAATGTAAGGATGCCAATATAAAGCACCAACGTTCCTGAAACCTGGCGTTTAATTGCTTTATTAAACGGCAAAAATCTGTGCTTGGTTTACATTGCAGTGAGTTTTATCTTATAGTCACGTTTTTCCAAACAGTTATTTGATTCAACTACTTCAACAGTAGGAGAATTTAAAAATGCTCAGATAAGTGGGCAAATAATTGAATTTCCAGTTTTAAAACAAATATATTTTTTTCAGAAAAATGTAAATAGATGTAATAAAAGAAATACATATATTGTCAATGACTTTTTGAATATAAAAAAATAAATAAATCTACCACATTCCTGCTTTATCTCACATGATCAGTCATGGTGAGATCAGTGTATGAAACTAATTCCAAATCCTATAATGAGCATTCGAGAGGGACATTATAACTACACAACATTCTATTATATTTTTAAGCAAAGAAGTCAAACTGGAGCAAGAGAAGAGCTTGAATATGTGACCAATTCAGTTATACAGGCCCAAAATGTGCAATTTCCTCATAAATTGCTCACAATTACCAGTTTAGTGAATTACTTTATTGATTTCATTGCACACGTTTGCCACACATGACTTCAATTGGAATGTCTTACTAATTCCACATAACACTTCGGAAGCGATTCTCGTTTTAATAATGAGAGGCTTTTCTGGAATTAATTTTCTTAAAGTGGGCTCTCCTAAGACCATAACAGTTTGCATCTGTCTTGGTTAAAGATGCACCCTCTACCCAGTCTATAAATACTGCTTATAACTGCAATTATTTGCAACAGTAAGTACAACTACCAATCCTTTCAGTGTCCTCACACTTCTTCCTCACAATACACACTCTCATTAACCTTTTCTACCACTGCTTTCTGTGAGTGATTACCAAACTGGACTGGCTCCATTGATGAAAAAACACGAATGCATCTACTAGAAATGCTTGCTAATTTTTCATGAGCAAATTTATCAATTTATTTCATGAATATATTATACACCAGATCTGTACAAAAGGGAGATTCTCCAGATGTTGTAAAACTACAACCCCCATAATGCTTTGCACTCCTTTGGAATGAAAGGATCATGGAAGCTGTAGTTCTTCAACATCTGGGGATCTACCTTTTGGGAACCCATGTTATACATTAAATGTAAAATGATAGGGCCGCAAAATTGTAAGTACAGGATATATCAGAACATTAAACATTATGGAGCTATGGAATACTTAAATATATATTCATTGAAAGCTGACCTATGGGGCACTACTGTAAATTGTAAGACTTAAAACATTCATTACTTTTTTTCTAGAAATTAACTTGAATGCACAGCAAACGTATACCATTCTAACTTAGATATGTACTTGAGATGAATATTTAACAAAAAAATTATTTCAAGAAAAATTGATTTGTGTACATGAAGCTATGTATGAGAACTTGAGTTTAAACCTACAGAACAGTAAGAAATTACTGTCTTGCTAAAGAACAGCAATATGTGACAAAGTTGATTCACAAAACTGTACTGCAGTATGTCTATATTACACTCAAAAGTATAACCAGCTTAAAATAGCAGATGTTCCCACAAAAAGGGCATTTTTTTCACATTGTAACAAACATAATGGTTTTGGGCACTGTCCTTAATCAGTTGGAGCATGGACAAATTGGACATGTTATGCCTAATAAAACAGCAAAAATTGGACATGTTATGCCTAATAAAACATCAACATTATGTTTCTAAACCCGCTGATCCATACACCAAAGTAAGTAAACATTCAAAAGAGAAGTATTACATATACTAGACGTTGTAGGTGTTGAGTAGTGACATGGCTCTACTTGGACAATTTCAAATAAAATGCTACACAACTTTTCTTCAGGCCAAATTACGTGATAAACAAATGTACATTTCGATTTTTTTTATCAAATAGTACTGAAAATAATTATGTTTAATAACTGTCCCTTTTAGCATACAAACGCTAGTGACTGATTAAGCCCATTTAAAAACCACTATATACAAACAGAAACAATAAGGTTATCTTATAGAATGAATGTTTCTACTGATTGCACCTTACAAACTGATCTTTAGAAATAAATCACATGTAGTCATCCTGTGTTGGCACTAACAGATATTCCAGATGCCTATCCGAATGCCTAAAAGTAATTTCCTACTACATTTTTCAGATACGATCCATAAATTTAATACACTGATTACCTTGGCACTACATGTGTAATCAATTAAGTGGAAAAGTCTTTGGTTTTACTATTCAAGTCCAAGAAAATAAAATTATAGCAACTGAATGTTTAAAATAAAAACGCAAACTAATGTTGAAAGTCAACTTTGGAGTGTAGCATTGAAAATAAGAAAACGTTGACATATTCCAATTTATTTTTTGTGAAATTTAAATATTACATTTTGTTGCCAATGTACCATTTCCTATTGGTATAATTTGCCGTGGCTCTTTTAACTGCGAATAAATTCCACAGAACAAATTCACTATAATGTGTCTAGTCTAAATATTTACAGCCTGTAAGAAATTGGCATGCGGTGGTAATTACTCACTTATGTTGCAAGCAAATCTTTGTACTGCACATAGGCTTCCAGCAGTTTTAGTTAATAACAACTGAGTTATATTCAATGGTTTTGGAGTGTTAGTGAGTAATGCATTAATATTTCTTCATGATTAAGTAGATACATCTTAAATACTTAAATCATATGATAATGTAGAACAGCCTATTTTTATATAATGTACGACTTTTTATTAGTTTATAATCTTGGAGGTGGTGGATAAATGAGAAAATTATGCACATCTGTATACACAATAGGGACATATTTAATGTCTGCCACAACCTGAAATAAAGGCAAATAAGGTAAAATCTACACGTTATGCTGCGTAGATTGACTGTGCTACATTAAAACACCTGCAAAAATTCATAATCGGCCATATCTTGAAAAATGTTTCTCATTTTGTTTAGTATTTCTCTGATACCCAATAATAATCCCGTTCCTGTCTTAGTAGGAGTCAGCACTGTAAAATGAATAATGTGGATTTGATGGATTAAACCCCAAATGTACATAATGGAGTAATGTCTGTCAACATAGGAATGAAAATTTTCATGTAATTAACTGCGTGCAGTGCTTCCAGGCTGTACACCACTCTTAATATTACCAGGTTTTAACCCTTTGAGACTAGGACATAATTACATCAGAAAAATAGATATTCATGTAAGTCGTATATAGATGCCTATCGCAAACATGCTGGGTATAAATGAGATTTGATAGGTGTGAATATTGTTACTTTATTCTGAGTATAAGGGATTAAGAATACTTAGAGGGGATTCAGAGAATAGAAGAAAAAAGTGTCCAATGTGTTTTGTGCCTCAGTACTTCAGATGAAAGGAACACTATAGTCAGCTAAATTACTTTAGCTAAATGAAGCAGTTTTAGTGTATAGATCATTCCCCTGCAATTTCACTGCTCAATTCACTGTCATTTAGGAGTTAAATCACTTTGTTTCTGTTTATGCAGCCCTAGCCACACCTCCCCTGGCTATGATTGACAGAGCCTGCATGAAAGAAAAACTGGTTTCACTTTCAAACAGATGTAATTTACCTTAAATAATTGTATCTCAATCTCTAAATTGAACTTTAATCACATACAGGAGGCTCTTGCAGGGTCTAGCAAGTTATTAACATAGCAGGGGATAAGTAAATCTTAATTAAACAGAACTTGCAATAAAGAAAGCTTAAATAGGGCTCTCTTTACAGGAAGTGTTTATGGAAGTCACATGCAGGGAGGTGTGACTAGGGTTCATAAACAAAGGGATTTAACTCCTAAATGGCAGAGGATTGAGCACTGAGACTGCAGGGGCATGTTCTATACACCAAAACTGCTTCATTAAGCTAAAGTTGTTAAGGTGACTATAGTGTCCCTTGAATAGCATTTAAGGGACACATCACTTTGAGAGAGCCATCTCATTTAAAAGCTCTTAGCTTTAAATTAGACATTTACCTCACTCAGCAGGCAGAGTTATTTTCTTCATATTTTCCTGCTTAGTCTTTCTTATGCCTTCCACACCCACTCCAGGGGGGAATACTTAACTAACCAATTAGTGTTCTATCCCTAAGAATGCTGAAAAAGTGCATTTGGCATACCTGACAGATTTACATATTTGAAGTTGGATGATTTCTTCACTTAGCAACATCCGGACAGAAGGAGAAGAAAGGGAGTCTGATCAGTGTGTCATGCAAAATAGGATCCGTGTCAGGCTGCTGCACAAAGATTCCCTATTTATGTCATTAGTGTACTGATCTGAAACGGAGATGGGGGGAAATCATGATGCACGGCCCCTTAAGGCATAAGACATTTGATATTTTTTATTCTGTCCTGACACAGCTACTGTGAATCTTCCAAGTCAGAAACATTCAGAATAAAGCAATATGAATACTAAAATATCTCATTTATCCACGTGTAGGATCCAGCACCTGTTTATATTATTTTGTTTCTGCAAGAGGAGAACCGACATTGAACCTCTTTTTGTAGATCTGAAAGTATGAAAAAACCAAAACAGACACACCTTTTCTTAATAGTAACAGAAAACTGACAATGTCATTGCTACCACCTCAAAAAGCCAGAAAGGGCATTAGATGCAGTATCTAATTTTGTCAATATACCTTGTGCCTGGCGTTGTTGAAATTTGTGCCAAATTACAAATAAGAGCACATGGAACCAAGGTAACATTTAGATTGCTAAACTTGTAATGCTTATTACCTGTTTAGTTAAGGGAGGTAAACTTACCATATTTCCATATGCTTGATATTTCACCCCAGCAAACACACAAATATTGTTTATTGGGGTTGAATAAAAATTTAACACACGCAGAACACAAATTTTCCCTTCAATCCCACAAGAACAAAAAAATAGAGTTGCTATTCTGTTGCACATTACAAGACACCCAGTCTGACAGCTGTTTGCTTTACTATACAAGAAGACCCATGTGCTCTTGTTCATCAACCCGAAAACCTTATTATGAACAAATAAAATTAAGACTGGGACTATAAAGATTATTCTCTTACATTGGCTTGCTTTTTGACTTTATGTCATCTTTTTAAATCACACTAACCCACTCCTATTGATTAACATCCACTGTGGGAGGTTCTCATAAACTGGTTCATGTCTATGTGTGTTTGTTGCAGAGTATGTGTGTATGTATATATATATATATATATATATTAACCACCAATTTGCTCAAGCATGTCTTTGGTGCGTGAGTTAATAATAAAATAGTGGGGTGTAGCACACCCATGTTTATATAAATCCAGATTCCTTAACATTTAGCAGATGTTTTTCTATTTCACATATTGAAACAGCCACTATCTCTTTTAAAAATTATATGTATAGCTAGCCACATTTTGTACATATTTGTCAGCACCTTCATGGACACATCGCTGCATTATATGCACAATGCCAAATCAATTATCTCCATTTCTCAATAAAACCTACAATGGCATGCTCTGTCGGTTCAATTAGCACATAAACAAACAGGAAATGACAAGTATTAGGTTGTTGCATTAATTTCCCACTTTTAAAAACTAAAAATGACATTTAATTTGTACACGGTTTTGTATGTGTAATTTGTGTCATACCTAAAATTAATGGAGCTTGCACGTTTCTCTAGAATGAAATATTGGGGAATTACAAATGCATTCAACTTTTCATTTTAGCATTCTGCAACAAATATAAATGTGTTTGTGTGTTATAGTAACATACACATACAAACATGAATGAACATTTAAATACTTTCCAGTAAGACACAATATATTACTAGTGACCAACAGATTTGGCGCTTATGCCACCAACTTTGGAAGAATGAAAGGCTATGTGTGCCCACCAGGATTCAAGCATGTGTGGACATTATGCCACCCACATATATCTGTAGCAGGGACATTCACCCACTGGGCAAGCTATCTGTATGTAGATATAAGACAGTGCTGCAATGTAACAGTGGAATAATAAAGAATTATCAGTACACTCCATATGTTAAAAAAAACAAAACAAAAAAAACAAATACAATCAGATTATATATACATATATATATATATATATATATATATATATATATATATATAAAATAAATACAAGTATTTAGACTAATGCTTGCCTTCCTGACAGGAACCAATGTAAAACAAAACAGAGAAAAGAAAACTTAAAGAAAAAGCAGAGTATGAAAGAGCTCATTAGCTCAGCATGACAAAGGTTTAGTTGTGTATGAATCCACATTGCAAAAGTCCACAAATGCCTTCATTAACAAGACAACAGTGTGTGCTCTCCGACCGCTTACATATGCATCTAGCATTTCAGGCTCAGAATTTTGGAGGTGTGATTACAAACCATCTGCAAAATGCAATTGAAATTTCTCAGGATATGCTGGGGGACCTTTTGACCCTCAGGTTTCAGGAAGGTTGAAATGCTTGATGACGATATATAAATGGGTAAAGCATTCAAAAAAGGTCATGGTTTTCTAGTAATCAGATCTTATCTTCCATTTTCCCAAAAAGATGAAAATGGAAGGAATATTCCTAATGGACAAAATATTAAATGCATGTTGGAATTTGGAAGCAAATGGGCATTCTCCAATATAATCCTCCTTCGTTAAAATGCAGTAGGGATTGAAAGAGCTAAAACATGGCGCACAATGAGGGATTCTTAGCATTGCAAGCTTAGGACATCAAGGTATTTACTCATTGTACATCACAGAGCGACACCTCTCAGCAGTTGCCTTAGACATGGCTAGCCCACTGAACGTTTATGTTCAGCTGGGGAAATGGGCAGCATTATATTTCCTGGCATAGTGTTTCCACTCTACAGTCGATCCATCCTGAAAGTGTCTTCTGTGGCAGGGTCAGTCAGGACCATATCTGGGTCATTAAGCATGTGAAGTCCATCCAAGGTTAAAGGATCAATTTTCAGTTCATCCAGAGGAAACTGTGAATCTGAATCAAAACTCACATCTCCAACTCCTGCCAATGAATTGGTCAGTTCCTTGGATAAACTGGGAGGAGACTCTCCTGTTACTAATGAAGAAAACAAGAAAAATATTACTTAAATATTACTTAATATAGGAAAAAAGATTTGTATTTGAGTCCAAAACTAGGATTGATACTTATAAGAGAAGCTTAAGCTAAAAGCTTTTTTATTTTGTTTTAATGAGCTACTATATTCCAAAACATACATGATCTCCTAAACTATTTTTACTTGATTTCAAAGTAACTATTTAAATATATACGGTGGATTGGACCTGGAATGATCCTTTGATTTTAATACCAGTATCAAAAAAATTAATATCTATAATACATTGCTAGACACAAATACACACATCAGTCAAGCCATACGACTTTCTTTTCCCATAGAAATATCACTTTAACAGTGCTCTCACTAGTACTAGGGATTCAGGGTAGGCGTTTGAAAATGAGCTCAACAAACAACCACATTTTTGCCTCATAATTCCACTTTATACATGGATTCCTTGGAGTATGTGCCTGCTGTATACAACAGCTTTGAAACACAACTCAAGAAGAAGAGCTAAGCCAGTGAACCACCCTTGCAGTAGTGAGAGCACTGTTAAAGTGAGATTTCTGTGGGAAAAGCAAGTCTTATTGCTTGACTGGTGTGTGTGTGTATTTGTGATTAAGTATATGTATAACAAGGGCTTGCACTCCAGGAAATATTCTTATTCTTGTGTATGCACACTTGTATTTTATTTCTTGTCCTGATGAAAGCTCCATGTGGGGGCTGAAACATTGACTTTTTATGGATTGAATAAAAGTAAAAGTTTACATGAAAACTACTACAAAGACCTTGGAGTGCGGCCCTTTCTGCTATATCTCTCTCTCTATCTATATCTCTCTCTCTATCTATATCTCTCTCTCTATCTATATCTCTCTCTCTATCTATATCTCTCTCTCTCTATATCTCTCTATATCTCTCTCTCTCTCTCTATATCTCTCTCTCTCTATATCTCTCTCTCTCTATATCTCTCTCTCTCTATATCTCTCTCTCTCTATCTATATCTCTCTCATATATATATATATATATATATATATATATATATATATATATATATAAACAAAATTCACAGATAACCACGACAAAAACTGTCAGGATCTGTACCCACGCCAGTTGAATAAAAGGAATGATACCGTCATCTACTACAGAACACAGCTTACCTGTGAGGATGATGTTGGGGATGTTTCCATGACTGGAGTAATTAAGTTGTTGAGAGTCATGTAAGCTACTGTGGCTACTTGTAAGTCCCATCATGGCTGCCTGAGAGTAGTTAAGGGTTGAGCATGGACTGTACAGACTGTTGGAACTAATTGCATTTTCAATCATGTTAAACTGTTCAAGCTGGAAATGAAACAGCAAAAGAGATCATGGTGCTTTATTACTATTTATTGATCTATATTAATTCATGTATACAAAGTTGATATCAATTACAAATATGGACATCTTTGTGTGCTTTCTTCGTAACCCACATTATCTGCCAGAGGCAAAAAGCATACATATTAAAGCGACACAGTTGCCCTCCCTAACCAAAATGAATATTTCATAAAAATAGAATCTTTATGAAATATTCAGATTGACTATGATGGAATTTCACTGAAATTCCAATCCAGTCAAAAGATATACTGAAAAAGATTTACACTGTGCAGAAATAACATCGTCAAGCCTGTTATTTCCCCCAGTGATGGCTACAGGGAAATTAAGACCTTTCTATGGAGGAATCCCACGATCTTGCAGGATGTTCCACAAACCTCAGTGTGAGAGTAAAGCACTAACGTTGACTACTGGCAGTCACAGCACCAGGAACAGAAGAGGAGAAGATGGAAGGGGACAACGGCGCTTCCGAGTGACAGGTTTAGGCAAGTAAAACTCATCTTTGCCTGCCCCCTTCCTCCACCCAGCTGCAATGTCACCACACGGGGACCTTGGAAATGATGCAAAGTTCCCAGACGGTAACAGATCCGCTTAAAAAGGTTACATGGCATATACAGCCAAGTATGTGGTTTCTCTTTCACTGTGACTTGTAATGCAAGTCACATGAGGAGCAACACTGTCTATCATCCATAAAAAGTTCCCAAGCATCCTAGCTTGAAATTAAAATCTATTGGCTCTATTTCAGTATAATACCTTGTGTCTGTCTCCTCATATTTACATACACACACCAAGAAAAAGTTTACAGTTTTAAAACTTCATAGTAAGTTGATGACAGACATTTCACATTGCAAACAAGTAATAAACAAAACAAAAAAAACCTAGTTGCACACAACGATTTACCTATGATCACAATATATTACCTGTCCTACTTTTGTGCCATCTGTAAACACTAACACATGACTTTAAATGTATACTTCAAGATCACTTATCATTAAGTTGAGTAAAAGTGATCCCAGACAGAACCCAGAAAGGACACGACTTGAAACTTTTGTCCAATTTGAAAATGTACCTTTAATGACAACTCTTTGTACGCCATCATTAAATCAATGTTCTACCCAAGACCAAGAATTTCAGCTAGACCGATTTAATTTAATCATTGACTTCTTATGTAGAACCATAATGAATGCCTGGCAAAACCCATGTAGATCACATTTACTGCAATAGCCTGGTCAATACTACTACTTACTTCTTCGTAGTAGGTAGTTAAAAAGACACCATAGTAACCAGAACCACTACAGCTTAATGTAGTGGTTCTGGTGTCTATATCCTGTCCAGGCAGGTTTTTAAAGGTAAACATTGCATTTTCACTCAGATGGCTACTTGATTGTGCTTCCTAGACCAGTGGCACTGGCATTCAGCATTGCAAGGCTTTGCATGTTTCCCACAGACATGCATTAGTTTAATACATCTCTATGAGGAAATGCTGATCAGCGCTGTGCAGCATTTTGCTGCGCATGTGCAATATCCCCCAGTGCTTTCCTATGTGTAAGCAATGGAGTGGCTGAGATCATCAAGATTTGTTTGTATTCCTGAAATTAGAGTATTACTTTAAGTTGATTTGACATGATCTATGTTTTATAGACCCGTGCTGATTTCCAACATTGTTGTTCCCAATGAATTCCTGAATATTATCCCTTAAAAAGCCTTCAAATAATAACAGTCAAAGAGGTTATGCTCACAGGTCTATAGTTTCCAGGTACGCTGTTTTATTAGTCAGAATGAGGAGGAAAAATCCAGTTCCAAAGCACATGCTTCTAAACACTGGATCAAGCAAAGCAAATGTAAAGAATGGTTCTGTATAAAGAGCAATTCTGGTGCAAAGCTGGAGAATATAGTAGTTTGTTTCCCAGTCCAAAAATGCAGGACTGTTTACCTTTAACTCAAGACTATATATAATGGCAGATCTAAATGGAGATGGCAGAAAACTGACTGCAAACGATTCAGTTAATATTACCTATAAAACAGCTGTTCAAGTAAATGACAGAAATGTGGGATTTCCGACTGTTTCTCCGCTTCATGACTGTACTAATGGATGTAAGCTCACAGTGTGCACTTTACTCTAAAGTACTGCTTTTGTAATTTTTTTTTTTGTAAATATGGAGCATTTATTAATGCATTAGCCCACAATAACTTGTCAAAGTAATAACAGTATTTTAATCCTGTTCCCTATTTCAACAGAAAATAAAAACGAAAAAGATCTGCGATAAAGAATACATTTCCTTTTTCCCCCCCTTCTAAAACAACAAAGCTTATAATCCAACTATGACTGGTAACTATGACTTTGACCAAATCTACTCTCCAACAAGACTTGTCTAGACATATATTATGTAGTTACTTTATCTCTTCTACCTTATTCACTCCATACTCTGTATATTTCTGTAGATCTTGACTACTAACATTCACTTTTGTAGATTTTCTAACACAAATGACATGCTGTCTTTTTCTGGATTTGAAGAAGCATCAAAGTGGTAAACCAGGATTTTTTTCAGTCCATCACTACTCACATCAATAGCGATTTTCAGTGAAACATGGCAAACAGACATTGATTCTTTTTCTGTGCTCTCTATTTCTACATT